CTCAACACACAACAGCAAGCTTATTTGGCCTACAGCAAGAAAACAAAAATAAGATATTCATTTAAGGGGACTATATACACACCCCCTTCTCTAGGGCTCTGCCCACCTCCTCCCCACGCTCTTTACTAGGCCTTTTCAATAGACCTCCAAGGTTCTCTCCCCTTCCTACTCTCTTTCTCTAAGTGTCTTCTGACCACCCAGTCTAGTCACTCTCTATCCCTGGCTTCCATGCCTTTAGTCCTCCTGTCCAACTTCAGACAACAGCATGTCCCTATTCTCCATGTTTCTCCAGTTCTATCTTCCAGTGGCTTTGCTGGGCTATCAACCATCTCCACTCCCATTTCTGACACACCACGGATTCTAGCCTCTCTTCCCCCTCATCATTTTGACTTCCTGCCTCTTTCAGTCAGAGAACCCAAACTCAGGCCTGAGAGGCCCGGTCAATGCCCAAGGTGCAAACTACCTTGCCAGGGAGAGAGGCCTTCGTTATTGGGAATGGCCCCACTGTTGGCCCCAGGGATCCCTCCTGCGGGGACGAGATAGGAGTCGCTCTAGGATGAAAAGGGGTCAAGCAGTGACAAGAGGTCCTGCTTGTTTGAAAGACTGGAGCTGTTGGTGCTGTCGTTTCTGCTGTCTGGATCCATGCACACATCACAGGGAAACTACATACCACCTGCAGTCAGGCTTGGCTCACTTGCAGCCCAAGTCAGAATCCCCTATGAGTGTGAGACAATGTGAAAACAGTGCCTGCTCATCCTGGGCGGTCTGCTCAGCCACAACCGGTGGCACCCCACCGGTCAGGCTGTCCGGAATACCAATGGCAGCTGCGCCTGCTCCTGGTTGGATGCCAGGAGACCCAAAGCCCACGGGCTTGAGTAAGTCCTCACTGCTTCAATCACGTCCCTTCCTGGAGTTCTTTCTCAGTCCCATCCTTACAAAGACCAATCACTTTCTAGCCCTGGGCAGCTTGGGGTTTCTACACTGGCTCCTCAAGCCAGAGGAGAACAAGGAGCAGGTGACCTGGGCTTGAATCCTGAGCACATTCTGGGTGAGGAACTTCAGACACACCCTCTTCAAGAGACAGCTAGTGCACCACAAGAGACTTTTGCAAAAAAGATGACAGAGATTTCTGTCGATTTCGGGGAGATGTGCGTGGTTCCTAGTTCGAGAACCACTGATTAGAACATACGATCTCAGGCATGCTAGTTCTCATAACTATTCTAGCAAACACCCACAGACAGCAGACAAGTACAGGCACATGGACTCTGATGCGATCTCACATTTATCCCATCATTCCTAAGTGTATGCACATACGCTTTCTCACATGGCACACCTAGAGAGGCACTCCAGCACTCTCTCTTCCACACACAGACACACACATCTCCTCTTTCACTTAAAGATCCAGGCACATAACAGAGAGTGTGTTTAACGATCTGGTATATGTCTCTATCTTTGAGTGAGGGATACACACACACACACACACACACACACTCTCACATGCAAACTCACACTCATTCTCACACACATTCTCTCTCACACACGTTCACACAGACTCACACACGTACAGACTCTTTCACACACATACATAAAGGTACATGGCAGACAGACACACATTTTTTCCTCTTTCTCTCACACACACACAAAGAGACCTCACACACATAAATAAAGGTGCATGGTAGATAGACACATTTTCTCTCTTTCTGTCTCATACAGGCACACACACAAAGATAAAGGTGCATGGCAGATACAGACACACGCACTATCACACACAAAGGTAAATGTGCGTGGCAAATAGACAGTCTCTCACATATACACAGACACTCAAAAATCCTGACTCAAGGACATAGGCGCATACTATACTGACATACAAATACATACAAACCTCACTAGTGACACACGCACATGGCAGAGAAGTGGGGGTGAATTCAGACCACAAAGTGATAAGTTCAAGTAGATATTTACATACACCTGTACATGTAAGAAAGTGACCTAAACATGGAAGGGGGGGGGAGAGGAGGACAAAGTAGGGGTGGCGGGGGAGGAAAGTAGCCCAGAGGGTTGTTGGTTAGACAGCTGAGGAAGTGCACGGCATGGTAAGGGGGAACCTAGTGAGTGACTGAACAGACAGGGGTACAATGGCAAGAAGTCTGGGGAGCCAGTGGAGTTCAGAAGGCTCCCCAGTGCCATTTTGAGGAATGCATCCATTTTGGCTCCCAAAGCTGAGAGTATAGTTTTAGAGTAACTTGAATGGAAAAATCTTACCAAATGCTCTCAGGTGGAGCTTTGTTTGTAGATCCTGTCATTTTGCTAGAATTGTGGCTAATCCAGGTCGAGGTTCCCTGCCATTGTCATTAGTCTGAATGGCCAGATGTTACTTGAACACTTGGTTTTTTGAACCCCTAGCATTTCTATCCTGTCACCCTCGGATTCCTGCTGGCTTTGAGCTCACCTGGCACCCCCAAGAGCTCACCTCTAATTCCGATGACAACCCAGTCTATTCAGGGATTCTTCGAGACCAGCCCCCAGGTGTTGTGGAGGTCAGTGAACCTTGGGTTTGCTGCTGCTGACCCATGGTGGCAGCAGAGATGAAGGAATCAGCCCTAGGCTGGGAGTCACAAGGTCTAACTGGCTTCTGCTGTTGGCTCTGCTTCTTACTTCCCGTGTGACTTCAGGTGAGTCACGTTTCCACTCTGGCCTCAAAATTTTGTAATCTTTAAAATGTGGATTATAATCACAAGGTTGATTAAATACAATCAAGCATATAAAAAAAACACTTTGACAAATAGAAAGCACGATACACAGGTGGGGAAGGGATTATTCTCTCCTCTTAAGGGTTTGGTCCCTGCCTCGGGGGTAGAGGCCCACGCAGGGTTTATCACCTCTGCTTAAAAATAGAAATAAGGGGGCCACAAAGAAGAGCTAAAAGATGATCCACCCCCAAAGAGTGCTAGAATACAAAAAGAAACCCCTATATACAATGCACTCAAATTGAGAATGGGGGTGGAAGGAGCACCTTGTTGTAATGCCTTATGCCGAGATGCCCAAATGGCCGGGGGGGAGGGGAGGCCGTGGTTCTAATCTCAGCTCCTATAGGGCAGCAGAATCTCTGACAGCCCTTAGGATGCCCCTTAGCAAAAGCCCCGGTCTTTTATGCGGGGAAGGAGCTGGCATTTTTAAAATGTCTCTTCTTGTGTGGCAGAGGGACCAGAGGGAGTCAAAAATTGATAGGAGAAGAGGAGAGAGAGAGGGAAAAGCAAAATGCAGAGGCCATCTCGAATTACGAGCAGTCACCACCTGGCTTATGGCCTTTGCCAGGCAGGGTTTAGAACATAAGACAATGGTTACTCTCAAAAAGGTACTTGCTTAAGGAATTCTGTTTTCAGATAGCAATACTTCGGGAAAGTTCTGTTATGAGGAGTTGGCTAGAATTTGACAGGTGAAAGCCACATTAAGTAGTATGTATTAAACAGAGTTGCCCACCTCTGAATTACTTTTGTTTTTCTAATTGCAGTTGGGATGCTACTTAAGACACCTTTTTAGTTTTACCAGGGCACCGGGTCAAAACAGAGTGTGCAGTAATGCCGAAAAGTGGAAAGGGACAAAGACATAACTGATAAAATCCTGAGAAACCCTGAGAAATGGAGAAGGGATAGAGAGAAATAAGGAAAAGACAAGAAAGGAGATGGAAAGAGAGAAAAGTAGAAGGGAGAGTTTTTAGAATCTTTCACCTTTTTTTTTTTGCAAGTCCATATTCATGAGGTCTGTTTTGGGTTATGGGAGGTAGACTCTGATGCTGGGGAAGAGAAAACTGTCCCGTTAAATGAGAGAGTTCAAACTTCCACAGCCGGCAGGAAGAGAACACAAAGCTAGCCTTTATCTCCAAGAAACAGATGAGCTTTTGTCTGCTTTTAACCCCCTTGGTCCTCTCATTTTGGTTTCTGTGAGGCTGAGTGAGGGTCAGCATAGATGGCTGTACTAGCTCCCCTCTTAACTCAAACCTCCTGCCAAGCTCGCTGCCTGCAGAGGAGGCCCATGCCACTCTGGGAGCTGACTGGGGCAGGCTAGGGGCCCCTGTCTACCCTCATTGTGATTTGGGTTGTGGGGCAGTAGGAGGAGGGGACAACATCGTTGGTCACTCCAGGAAATTCTAACATCTTTGTTACTCTCCCAAAGCACCAGACAAATCAGCCTTCGAGCTCCCTCTCTCTTCTCCGAACTCAAATTTTCTTTCTCCCTATCAACCTCTGGGTCAAATCTTCAGCGAATTTTTCACTCTGTTCTTTACCAATGAGTGTTGTCCCCACTTCCTGACTGTTTAGGAGACAGATGCTCACCAATTTCCCCGCCGAAAAATCAGACGGTCCAGCCGGGCAACTAGATAGGTGTCCCACTTTGGAACTAGATGAAGAAAAGGTGGAAGAAGTGGAAAACGAACTCATTTTCGAGGCCCATGAATTTTTCTTAATCTGAATGTGCTGGAAAAGTCAGAGCTTTCCTCCCCCTGGTCCTCAGAGTTGATCTTTGAAACATTTCTTCATTGAACAAGTGCCTACTATACGTGAGTGAGGGTCAGCATAGATGGCTGTCATAGCTCCCCTCTTAACTCAAACCTCCAACCATAACAAAGATCAGCTCAGTGAAGGCCAGGAGAAGCCAAATCCTGACTAAAACAATGGCCAACAAGAGGTGGCGGCATCTAACTTTTTTGTGCTTGTTGGCTTGGTTCTGACATTTTTTAAAAGGTGAAAGACTTTCAGCACAAAGCAAAATAGAGGTGCTAGTCTCTTCTAACTCCAAACACTCTTTCTTCCTCCTCTCCTTCTTCCTCTCCCTATCCTGACACACTCAGTATTTGCAATGTGCTGAAAAGCACAGAAAAGTCTAGAACCAAACTAATGAACCGAATAATGAAAGAAGGAACCAAAAGGAAAAGCAAAGTGAAAAGAACCACAGCGCCCGGGTCATAATGGCCTGATTATCTTTCCCGAGGTCATGGGGACTTAATTGACATAGTATAGCCAGTAAAAGAGGTTGAAGAAGGCAAAGGTGACAGGAAAGACAAGCCGAGACCACTTATCAACCACGCTGACATCATGCAGGGTGGGCATTCTGAGCTTCATCTTGGGGGAACGGCGGCGGAGGCGGCCACCACGGTGGCGGCATCCAGAGCTGCGGCGGCGGCGGCGGCTCCCAAGAGGGCTGATGACTGGCTGCATTGGCTGGTTAAGGGCAGCCCGAGAAGCTGCCCCCCTGCGCAGCTGAAGCCCAGAGATGTTGACAGATGCTTCAGATTCCTCCACCTCATTGGTTACTTCCAGAACACTCAAGGCAATGTTTCCATGGGCATCCACCTGTGAGGGGGAGAAAAGCAGCAACAAGGTTGTTAGCTTCAGAGAGGTAACTTGAGCGGGCCGCTTGGGTGAAGATCAGACCAGGAGTTCTCCCCACAAGGTCTGGGAAAAGACCTGGAGCAGTGGCTCCTTCTATTTGGTGGCCTTTTGGGAGGACCCAGAGGGCCAAGTCTCCTTTGTCTGTCTTAGAGCTTCCCTGGACCCAATTCAGAGGTGCCATCATCCCCAGATGATTTCTGGAGCTTGGGTAGACCCTGTAACCCTAATCCCAAAGGAAATCGTGGAGAGTTGCTTCTCACCCCTAGGCCAGGACACCCTTTCAGGCTTAGTCTGGGGAAGCTCTAGAACTGTGAAAACCCTGAGAGAGGGGTTCTGGACCTCATTAGTTAGTGTGGAAGAGGATGACCAACCTGGGGGCCTCTGCGCCCTTTGCCTCGCTTTCCCTGGGACTGGGAACGTTTGCCAGCCTGGGCCTGCCTGCTCTGCTCACTGGGACCACGTCCAAAGAAGGTGTAGTTAACAAAGGCATATTCCAGAAGAGCCAGGAACACAAAGACAAAGCAGCCCATGAGATAGATGTCGATCGCCTTGACGTATGGGATCTTGGGAAGGGTCTCCCGCAGGTGAGTGTTGATGGTGGTCATGGTAAGCACTGTAGTTACACCTGCAAACAACATAGGACCAAACCTGTCAGAAGGCTTGGAGCTGCAGAGGAGTCAGGTGTTGGGGCCAGTCTGTGGCTAAGGCCACAGACCACTACATCTGCAGCAAATTAGAATCAAGGAGGCACTGCCGGGGAAGCAGGGGAGGCCTAGTGGTATACTGGGTTGTGCGTTTGCTCAACTCTTTTTCTTAGTTAAAGGGAGAGATCAGTTTCAAGGTGAGGGAAATATTCTCAGAAATGACCTTGACACCGGGGCAGCTAGGTGGCACAGTGACAGAGCCCTTGCCTTGGAGTCAAGAGGACCTGAGTTCAAAGCTGACTGTAGACATTGACTAGCTGTGTGACCTAGGGTGAGTCACTTAACCCCGACTGCCTCCCCCCCAAATGACTCTGATGTCAAAATAAATGGCATTCATAAAGCTTACTTCTACTTACATCCAATTTTTTAAACCGCCTGGCTAGTAGGATACTGGAGTGAGGGTGGAAGGCTGTGTTCACGCATGTGGGTCTGGGAGGGCTAAGGACTCAGTTAGCTCTCGGTCCTGTTGCCAAGGAGACCAATTTTGTCTTCAGCATCCCTCCATCTCCATTAAGCCTGGTCCTGTAGCACCTTCTCCAGGCCTACCTTGGGCCAGGTTTCAGGCCTTTCAGAAGGGTTCAGGAATTATTCCTTCCAGGAAGTAGTTTTATTCTATCAAGAGCCTTCAGATCGCAGCATCACTGGTCTGGAGCTGGAAGGGACCCTGGAAGGCACGTAGTCTAACCCCCTCATTTTATAAAAGAGCCAACTGAGGCCCACAGAGAGAGAGGGACTTGTCTAAAGTAAGGAGCAGAGCGGGGATTTGAACCAGGTGCTCCACCTCCAGACCCAAGATTCGTGACTCTCCACCCCTACTGAATAGCGTGGGATGGATGGAGCCTGTGGTCCTCGTGAGCTCCATTCACATTGTCCCCATTGGTGCCTGGGGATCCCAGTCCTGCCTTCATGTTCAGACTAGCTCCCCATAGGCTTTGCCAAGGCAAGTGTCTAGAGAGCTTTTCCTTGGAGGGGGTGTGTGCGGAGGGTGGCAAGAAGTGTAATCATCTCAAAGGCCATCTCTCCTTTTCTGTATCCTTGAAAAATGGCTGCAATCCAGGGTGATTACTCCAGAGGCAGAGACTTACCTAGTGCCACCCTGGCAGCAGAAGCATCATAATTGATCCAGAAGGAGACCCAGGACAGGATGGTGATGAGGACAGAGGGCATGTAAGTCTGCAGGATGAAGTAGCCGATGTTTCTCTTGATCCGGAAACTCAGTGACAAACGCAGGTATGAACCTAAGGAGGAGACACCCCAGCAGGCCGTTCCTGTTATCTGGCAGTTGAAGCCAATTCTACTAAGGTAACGGGAATGGGGAGCACTCCAGGCATGACCTACTGCATCTAGGCTCAAATACAAATGCCTCTCTTTGGCATTTAGAGCTTATCATAATTGTGTTTCCTATTTATCTTCCCAGCCTTGTTAACTATATTACTCCCCTTTACACACTCTGTGTTCCCAATGGGATTCCTTTTCCTGCCCTTGGGCTCTTTCATATGCTATCCTCTTTGGCATCCTGCCTTTACCTCTTGGAACCCCTTCCCCAGCTTGCCTCAAGGGACAGCTTAAGTGACCCCTCCTATGTGAGACCTGCCCTGATCTCCCCAGTTGTGCCCTGCCAAATTCTGTGGTAATTGACTTATTTGTGTATATGCCGCTCCCCCTCCCCCACCTCAGTGGAATGTAAGCTCCTTGATGGCAGGAGCTATTTTACTTTTGAATTTGTATACCTAGGGCCTAGCATAGTACCTGGCACACAGTAAGCCCTTTAAAAAATGCTTGTTAAATTGAATTGAATCTTGAGGGAGGAGTATAAAGAGGCAGGCATATAAGGGAACAACTGTGGGTGCCTTGGAAGGATGTTCTCCAGTCACCTGCCCATTTATCAGCAAACCAGGCCTTGCTTGGGGCATTGACAATGCCAGGCCACTACCTCCTGGCCAATCTGCACTCAGCTTACTATAATCTGATGGCTGCTACGTGGGCTATACATTGGGGTCACCAAGCCAGGTCCCCAGGAGGCGGGAGCCCAACTGTCTCTGTCATATTGGTTAATAATGAACTGAACTGTTGGTACAGTGGTCTGTCCGATAGCCTGTTAGGCTCCTTCAAACAGAGAGGAGGGAAGGCCACCACGAGAGGCCCATGACTGGCCTGTGGAAGAGGAGATGTCCCCATGGTAATAAAGGTTCCTTTTCAACAATAACTCATGTTTTTGGAGAATGTTAAGGTTTACAAAGTGATTTCTTCATGACAATCCTGGGAGGTAGGGTTATTTCCCCCTCCTTTACAGGAGGAGAAACCGAGGTTCTGGGGGAGTGAGTTGTCCAGGACCAAATAGCTAGGAAGTGACTGAGCTGGCATTTGAGGCCTGCTGTCTTCTGTTGCTTTCTGTGCTGTAAAGGCTCTCTGAGTTTACCTCTAGACCTCTCTACCCTGTTAGAGTTTCCCTAAATATTCCTAGGGATCAGAGTATGCACAGCAGAGAGATCATTTCACCAAACCTGGTGAAGAGCTTGGTCATTTTCAAAGCCTCTAAGTGAGAAATCATTCCTTTAGCTTGGATTTGGTTCTGGCATGTAGCTGGACTTTGGGAAACTTTTGTCTTATTCCTTGGCTCATCAGCTTGAAAGTGAGACTGGGCCAGGACCCCCAGAAACTCAAATGGTAGCCACTAGCCCCTCTAAGCAGCTAGCTTGCTTCTTAGGAGCAAGTACAAACTAAGTTACAAAATGCTGGGATGAAAGGAAAAACTAGTAGCATATTTTTAGAAAAGCAGAGGAAAGCCCAATGGAAGCCTAGGCTGTTGGGCACGGGGGCAGCTGCTTCCAGGGCTGGGAGCTGGTGGGGAGGAGGATTCCATGTGACTAAAAATGAGATTCATAGGCAGGCACCAACTGAGGGAGCCCTGCATCCTGGGCCAACTAGATGATTCTGGGCTGGAAGGGTCCCAGGGCCATCAAGTCTAACCGAGGCCTAGCATGGGGAGGTGACCTACCCAAGGTTACCCAGGTATACTTCTTGGCGCTCTGGATTGGGCAGAAGGAAGTTTTTCCATGGTCTGTATGTCAACCTGGCTAGGGGCTGTGACCCAAGAAGAGAGGGGCTGGACCACTAAGGTAGAGCCAGTCTGGACTTGGAATCTGTCTCCCTGGGTGTGGAGCTGTCCCTTTAGCACTAAATTCCCTAACTCAGGAGGCTGTCTGATTTGTCTTGTTTTTCTTGCTTGACTTCTGAGGACCATCCGAAGGTGGAGATCCTTCAGTCAGGACAGCAGTTCAGCTGCCCCATGAGCCCCTCTTACAGAGCAGAGGATGCCAGGCAGATGGGTGAGGTGTGGTTCCTTGAGGAGTGGCTGACCTCTCTGGGCTGAGCTCCCTCTGAGACCCTGGCACATATTGATTCTGTGAGGTAGGGATGAGGGTGCAAAGAGGGGAGGGAGAAGAGGCTTCTCTCCCTGGAACCACCCTCCCAGGAGCACTTAGGCTGGGTCAGGGATAAGAGAAAATCAAGAGACGCACAGACAAGGGAGACAGAGGAGAAGGGGCAGGAGAGAAATGGAGCCTGTACTGACTGAATGAAAATGCGTTTATTAAGCGCTCACGATGTATCAAGCACTGTGCTAAGCACTAGGGATACAGAGGAAAAAAGCAAAGGCGGTCCAGAGCAGGTAAGGGGATGGGGAGAGGGGAATAGAGAGAGAGGAGGAAGGGGTGATAAAGAAGTAGAAAGAGAGCGGGATAGGGAGAGGTTGAGTCAGAGTCAGACACACACAGACAGAGAGGGACAGAGAGACAGAGAAAGAAAAAGAGAGAGAAAAGGAGATAGAGAGGATGAGAGAGAAAGAGATAGAAATAGTAGCACAGAGACAGATGTAGAGGCAGAGAGCAAGGCAGAAAGAGACAGGGAAAGAGATAGACATAGAGAGAGAGAGGCAGAGACAGAAACAGAGGCAGAAATAAGAAAGGGTCGGAGAAGGGTAGTTAGTGGTTTGGCATGTGGGTTTCCGGGGCCCACCTGTGGTAAACACCACTTCTCGGGTAACCAGTCTTTGCTCCATGATGGTAAACTGAGGCAGCTCCAGCGTATCCATCCCAGTCACAGCCGAGTCATTCCCTTGCCAATAGAACACGATGTCATCAACGGTGTAGCCATCTGGAAGGTGGAGGTGGAAGTAGAGAAGCAAGGAGATGGGTCAGTTCTAGAACATACCTGCAAGAGTCAAGCCCACTCCTTTCTTAGCAAATATCCCCCGGGGGCAGGAGCCTGTGAATGGGGTCTGCTTTCCTCTAGGCCCTCAGCTACCAGTAGGGACGCCACAGCTTAGGACATGCAAAGGTGCTCAGTAGCCCTTTCAGAGGGCCACCAGGGGGTGCTTCCTATGGACCATGTGGACAAAGGGCAACTTGAGAGTTTCTGAGTTAAGGGCCAATGGCACCCCATCCTGTCACACATATTTGTGGATGCTTTGGCTTTAATCTCTCAACGGCTTCTCAGCTGACCATACAAGTCTTCCTATTAACACAGTTGGCAATGCAACCCTTGTCCCTAATTCTCCCCTTCAACCTAGCCCTTGCTGCTTTTCTAGTGAGGTAACTGCCCCCCCCCGACCCCGATCATGAACACACACACACACAAAGGGAGAAGCATTGGTGTACGGGCTAATATGTGGTCAGCTGTCTGCGCCTGAGTCTTCGGCTAATATTTGTACTCAGGATGAATGAGAAAGCATGGAAAAGGATGAAGCCTTTGTTCTAAGGCTCCCAAAGGTCAGGCCTCCCCTCCCTCAGGTAACTTCTGTCAACAGGGACCCTTTCAGAGTCAAAGATGCCAGCTCAAAAGCCCAGAGTTAATTTCAAATTCTTGAAGTGGCAAAAGACAAAAATGTTAAGGACATAAATTTTGCTTCCCGCATTCTGAGTGAGGCTTACAAGTAATGGAGAACAAAAAGAAAAACTGGCTTTAGCGGTAGCAAATTTCCCAAGAGTGTCTCATTATAAACAAAATCACAGTGTAGGGAATTGTGTATAATTCCCATTCCACTGTTTTCTTGGTCATAAACTATTCTCAAAATACCAAGAGGTACCAAGCATGACATCAGTCATTAGTGCCTTCAGGATCTCATTTACATTCCATTTCCAATCATGCTGAGCACAACAATTTACTGTTCACCCTAACCTTTCAAGAAAATAACTAGTACTTTGTCAGACGCATATATACAAATAGAGCATCAAGATTTTGGACAATGCCTGTGTTAGAATTCAATTGTCTTATGTACGTTTGAATGGGAGGCAAAAAGGTAATATATTTGGAGAATGGTTGGAATTAAAAAAGGGTTCTGATTGCATTTCATCAGTCACCAAGAAGGAAGGATCAAGGGTCTCTCTGGCAGCTGGAGACTCAAAATCACCTGCACTGGCATGCATCTAGAGGCGGGGGCTTTGGAAAAAAAGCAAAGAGGAAGCACAAGCTGCCTCCAAGCCCCTCCATTGCTCCTTCCTTCTTCTGACCCACAGAAGCTGGAGCAGAGGGAAGAGAAAGGACCAAGAAGGAATACGTACAACTTTCAATTTCGAGGGTGCAATTCTGCTGGTCCAGGGGGTATCTTCGCAGATCCATCATGCAGGCGGCAGTCGTGGTGATTCTGGGCAGGGGAAAGAACATGAAAGAAGACATAAGAGCTAGGTGGCAGGAGGGGCTGCTGTTTCCATGGCAACTGGGGAGACTTGGGGAGGGGGCTGGCAGGAGGGGAAGGGAGGGTAATGCATTCTCCATGGCATGTGGTTCCAATATCATGAGGCATTTCAATCTGCCTGAGCTTATTCAAAGGGTTGTTGATTTCCCAGGATAGCAGAGGTGGAAGAAACCTTTTGGGATCATCTGGTCTACTCCTTTCATTTTAGAGGGGGGAAACTGAGGCTGGCCTGGGAAGATGTCAAATAAAACACTCAAGATTACACAGCTAGTGAATGGTGGACCAGAGAACCGGAACCCTTGTCCTTTCCCTTCAAACCTGGCACTGCTTCCACTGAACCAGAGTTTTTCCAAGTAGAAGGGATCTTAGACATATTCTAGTCCCCATTTATTATATTTTTTTGCTTAATGATTATTTTTATGTTTTGTACCAATTTTCTGAGATAGTATATATAGTGATTTAGTTAAGAGTTTAGAGGATCATAGGCTCCACTCCACTCACTTTAGATGGAGAAACTGAGGCCCATGGAGCATAAATGACATATCTAAGGTTTCAAATCTAGTGACAGTCAGGACTTGAACCCAAGTCTTCTGACTCTAAGTTCAGTGATCTTGCCACTAGGCTTCTCTCTCTCTCTCTCTGTTTCCCTGTGTCTCTCATTTATCTGTCTGTCCATCTATCTATCTGTCTCTATCTTTGAATCTCCCTACCTATCTGGTAAGAAGATTAACGAGCTGAAGATGTAGCGGGGAAGGAAAGAGTATTGTGTGTGCAACAAAGGAACCTAGAAATCTACTGAGATTAAAAACAGGAAAACCAAGCCCCTGGGAAGGGCTGAGAGACATTTGTCTTTGGGAAGGTCGGCCCAAAGCCCTCAGAACCAAGATACCTCCTGCAAATTCCTAGGCTCCTTGGCAGAGCTGGTGCGAACCTGGGAGGTCCAATGCCCTGATTTTACACACAGGGGAACTGAGGCACAGAGAAGTTAGAGGACTCCCCCAAGGTTACACAGCTCCCTGAAGCTCCCTCTTGCCCCATGCAGCTGGCAGTGTCTGAGGTCATAAGAATGGAGGTGACACGTGGTGTGTGTATGTATGTGTGTAGATAAGCCTGTATTATTACACACAACGACCTGATAGCCTAGGGAACACACCTGGAGCTACTGGCATGCATGTGCAGTGGAGAGAAAGGGTGAAGGTTTGTGCATAAGTGGACACGACGGGCAGCTGGGCCAGGGTGGGTCATTGTAAATTCTAGGCTATGTCCTAAGTGTGGGTGTGTATGTGGCTGAGGTAGAGGTCCTGGGAGGAAAAGAGAGAACATTGGGGGAGAGAGGTAAGGAGTGGGATAAAAAAAAAAAACCCATTCATGTCTTATGTAATCATTCCCATAAGTCCCCCGTGTCAGTCTGCACTGTCCTCTTCATCCCAATCCCCTTCAAAGCTCAATTTTCTCTTTCTAGCCTCACTGAGTTCAATTTCCATTTTGCATAGTGTGTGCACGTGTGTGTGTCTGTTCACCTCACCCCTTTAATTAGCAATCCCCAAAGCATTCATCAACTGGTGCACTTGTTTATGGAGCGGGGAAAAGCAGTGAACTGTTCACTGGGTGCTGAGTTGAGCCCTGTGGTCTGAGAGATGGGCCCAGGATAAAGCAGGACGGGGCAGGGGAACAAATGGACAAAGGACCAATGCCCGAGAGAACCCCCAGAGAAAGGGTGGTCCAAGGTGGGGGGGCGGGCAGCGAGCCAGAGGAAGAGATGAGGGGAAGGGCAGAGAAAGCTGCAGTGGCTACCTCACTGTCTCTTTAAGAAATCCTATGTGCTAAATTTATCTCTCGGCTGTCTGGGAAGACTGTTTGTGGGAGATGAAGCCTTGAGGAGACTTTTTGCCACTGTCTGCTGTGCTATAAACAGATCTGGAGAGACTCAGGGAGTATACGGGTGCACACACATGCCTCACACACACGTGCACATACACATTCCCTACATACATATATGCACACACGCACATGAACACACACACCTCCATCCTCCTTGCCTTTGGCTCCAACATACAAACCACCCTTTGGGGGGGAGGGGTAGGAGAAGGGCTTCCACTGGAGCTTGGCTGATGAAAGGAGGCACGGAGAGGCGAACCAAGTCACCCATGATAAAATTGTGATTAATGGAGCCCATGTAGTTTGGTTCCCAGGCAGGGCCAGGGAGAGAAGAGCAGGCACTGTCTTGGTAGTAATGCCAGACAGGGAGGATGGGGGACACATTTCCACCATGGGATCCACCTTCTCTTCCACATTAGCCAGGGCAGAGGGTCCTCCTGGCCTCTACCTGTCTAGTTATGGATCCCACCTGTGAGAAAGAGCATCTCTAGGAAGGGGTTCACTGCCTTTCTCTCAACATGTGAGTTGAACAAAGCAAGGGAACAAACATTGTTCTAGGCAACTTGCTGGACCTTGTGGGCTGAAAGTGGCCACCAGCATTCTTCTCAGGGGAATGGTCTTGTCTTCCAGCTTCCCAGAAGGTTTCAAGAGCTCCCCTAGGTTAATCCTGTTGCCTGTGTCTTGTCTTCTTGTCTTGCTGGTACAGTGGTGCTATCATTCCAGGTGGCTACTGGAACTTGGAGGACATTAATGTTGACATTTGGCTATGATGTAGTAGTAGTTCAGTCATTTCAATCATGTCCGACTCTTTGTGACCCCATCTGGGGTTTTCTTGGCACAGACACTGCACTGGTTTGTCGTTTCCTTCTCCAGCTCAGTTTACAGATGAGGAAACTAAGGCAAACAGGATGAAATGATTTGCCCAGGGTCCCACAGCTAGTAAGTGTCTGAGGCTAGATCTGAACTCAGGAAGATGAGCCTTACTGACTCCAGGTCCAGCACTCTATCCACTTTGCCATCTAGCGGCCCTGGCTATAATGTACTCAGCTCTTTATTCGAGGTCTCACAGGTCTGGAGGAAGTGTGGCTGGTTGGGGCTCAAACCAGGTATGCCGGAAGTGAGCTGATGACAGAAAAAAGGACTTTGACTACTTAGTAAGGAATGCATTTCCACTCCTTGGTAGAGGCTGGGGCCCACAGGGAGAATTCAGACCACCGAATACAAGAAAGGGGTACCATTGCTCCTGTCTGCCCTCTCCTTCCCCAAGGCCTTTGGTAGCCAAATGTCTTTACGGGGATACCTGAATGGCATGGTGCTAGATGAGAAGGGCACAGATGGTGGAGAGAACGATGGTGGCAATCCATCTCTTCCAGATCTGGGACAGTAGTACCCTATCACCTTCAGGAGGATGAAGTGGGAGCCACATGGCAGGAGGGGAGTTCTAGTACCCCCCCCCCCCCCCCCCAGGCCAGGGATCCCAGACTGGCTCTGGCATCTCCTGCGAGGTATAAACTTCATTGATGTCCTCACCCAGATATCAAAGGGTCCATTGCTCTCCAAACTTCATGGCTATCACTGCAAGAAGGAATTTTGGTTTTCTTGTAAAAGTCTCTTCTTTGTGGTACAAGCTACCACTTGTTGACAAGAAGTGCTGTTCCAGCAGCCCTTGGAAGGAAGGCTTCTGCTTGCTCTTCAGTCTTGGTGAACAGCAAGACAAAATGGTGACCCGAATATTTACAGTGCCTCTTTTCGTTGTGGCAAACAACTGGAAACTGAGTGGCTGTCCATCAGCTGAGGAATGGCTGAACAAGTATGGTACACGAAGGTGATGGAATACTATTATGCTATGAGAAATGATAAAGGAGATAGTTTCAGAACAACTGGAGAACACTCCTATGAACTGATACAAAGTGAAGTGGGCAGAACCAGAACAATTTATACAATGACAACGACAGTGAAAAACAAAACAACTTTGAGAGACGTAGGAACTCTGATCAACACAATGACTAAGCACAAATCCAAAGTACTCATGAGGAAACATGCTGCCCACCTCCAGATAGCGAGCGGATGGACTCAGTGCAGACTGAAGCCTATTTTCGTTTCTTTCTTCTTCTTCTGTTTGGTTGGGGGATTGTGACTAATGTGTGAATTTGTTTTGCTTGACGCTACATATTTGTAACAGGTTTTGTTTTTCTTGCTTTCTCGATGGGTGGGGGAAAGGGGAAGTGTGAGGGAGACAATTCGGAACTGAAAACAAAATAAAACTGAATAAAACCCCCCCAAAATAGCAGCCTGAGGTTCCCATCCTTCCCTATTGCCACTGTGTACCCAGCTGACTGGCTCAGGATACTACCTGAAGAGACGCATCAGGCCAGCCTGATGGTTTGGCACCACAACCCAGCAGTTTCCATCTTGGGATGTAGGTCCAGCCAATCCACCTCAGTGGGGATTTCCTCATTCAAGTCATATGTTTCACTTCCTACAATACAGCTTCCATAACCCTTTGAAACAACATTTCTCATGGCAGCTCCGAGGGAGATGATCTCCATTTTCCTAATAGGAATTTGCCAAAGAGTTAAAGTTGCAGGACACCTAAAGGCTCTGGTGGTCGCAGAAGGCTGCCAGATATCACCAGTGGAGAATTGCCCAGGAGAAGCTGCAACAAGGATTTCATCAGAGAGGTGTATGCCCAGAAAAGGAGGTGGACAGGTCATATAGTATGAGCTGGGGATGTCAGACGAACAGCTCACTGTGGCTCCATTGGTATCCATGCCATATTAAGAGGTCTAGAGGACCTCTGCTTGACTCCTAGAGGAAGACCCCTATGGAGGATATGGATGAGAATCACACAGTATGAGAAGGGATGGATAGGTTGTGATTTGTAAGTATTCAGTAAGAGTCTGCTGTCCCCAAAGGGAAGCTCAGACTGAGTCCTCGTTCAGATAGCAAGGCTTTGCCATGCACCATTTTGACTCTGAAAGCTTAATTAATGCCTTAGATGCAGCTCTGGTGGTAATGGTCTCTTTCCAGGATGTGGTTTGTTCTTTGCTATCTCTGATGGTGACTTGGGTTGATGAGGGCTCGGAGGGAAGCTGGAGGCCAGAGCCTGAATCCTGGCCCCAATTCACCTTTTTGTGTCCCTAGTGGCTGCTTCTGGTCCACAAGAGATTGAAGCCTCGCTGAAGGTCAGACCTTTACTAGAAAGATGGAAACCAAAATCTCTTGGGAGTTCTTAAGGGTCCTTCACTAGAGGGCGCTTGGATCCTCATACCCATGGCAAGGAAGACATCTTGTTTCTAGTGGAGAGAGAGACTGAGAGCCAGCCAGAGCCTGCAACAAGGCAGGGCAGTGGGGAAGCGGGTGGGGGCCAAGGAAAGTCTGGCCAGTCCTTGGACACCTAGCTTTACAACGTCTGGAAAGGTGGGGAGGATTTCCTCCAGGTTGCGGATGGCCACAGCTAGGCTCACAGCAGCCCATATCCTGGTCCTCTGTGACAGGGGCTCCTCCCTTTCCCTCTTGGAAAAAGAGAAGGTGTTTGGCTGGCCTCGAGACTCTACTCTGTTCCAGCAATCCCAATGCAGCAGATTCCAAAGCTTGCCTGCGATCTTGGGAAACCTCTGGGCTCGTGCCTTGGTTGCTTTGTTACGGGGAAGAGTCTGCCTGGTAGATATCTCAGGGACTTCTACCTTTTTCCTTCAGGGCCATGTCTGGGTTCTTGGGAAGACACGAACTCTAGGCCAGCTGAATACACTGATCCTAGGTGACTGGCTCGGGCACCAAGCTCTTCTTTTCCTATGGCTTCTGGGGGTAACAAGCCCTTTGGCAGAAAAGCCAAATGACCTTAGGTCCTCCTTCCTTTAGGCCCTTCTGTACTTGTTGGGATGGCTGAGGCTAAGGCCCAAATTGGGCTATAGAGGTAAAGAGGCTTGGAACTCAGGGTACAGCAAGAGGAAGTCAAGTTGGCTTAGACAGGAACTGCAGTGGAAACCTGATTGTTTTTAAATGGAATGAATATATTCTGAGGATTTGGGCTGACTGAATATTATATTTTGGGCCTGGGGGAGGATCTGAGGAGCAGGAGCCAGAGGAAGGAGCAGGCAGCAGTGGAGGTCTATGGATCCATGCGGGCATGTGAATGTGCATGTGTGTGCCCATACATGCATGCATGCAGGCTGCAGGTCACCAGCCCTTTGGGGGACAGAATTGGGAGCACGAGTAGTTGTGGCTGTGACTATGCTATGGACACAGCGCTCATTCCTAGGGGAAGCAGCCAGGGTGGCCTGCGCCCCTGGTTCAGCAGAGAACTGCAAGCCTGATTGTGCTGGCTGAGCCCACTGCCATGGTTGGGCACCACGAGAGAACACACCTGCCTTTACCAGTCTCTCTTTGTCTCTGTATCTGTCTCTGTCTCTGTCTCTCTCTCTCTCACTTGCTTACTTGAGTTCTTCAGACATTTTATGTTTTTTTTTCCTTTGACTAGATGAGAAGCTTCTTGAGGACAGCAACTCTACCTTATGCTTCTTTGACTCGCTCCTCTCCCCCTGCCCCACCTAGATAATGGGACCTTGAAAAGAGTACACCCCCAGTGTGTGTTGCTGAAGGCCAACACAAGTTCTTCGTGCAGTGCCCACTGAAGGGGAGGTGGGTTTCCAGGCTGTCTGCCTAGTTGATTGTGAGTTCTCGACTCCTAGAGGGCATACCTGAGGCCGTACAGGACCGTCCCATCGGGATGGAGCCGGATCATGCGGTTCTTCACAGTCACTCCGTGCAGGAAGGATTTCTTGTCGTTCAGAAAGTAGGTGTCAGGGAGCCACAGCTGATCAGCCACACGGTTATCCAAAGTCAGGTTGAAATCAAAGTCACTGTATGCCAGGCGCTTGTCCCTCCAGCTCTGCTGGAAATACATGGTGATGGTGTAGTCCTGTGGAGACATAAAGGAAAGCCAATATATTGAAGGTAATGTGTGTGTGCGTGTGTGTGTGTGTGTGTGTGTGTGTGTGTGTGTGTGTACAAAGAATGGGAGCTAGGGCTCTGCCTAGGGAGTGGAGGCTAAAGGCATCCCTATGGCATGGAGATGTAGAAGATGCTGTGGCTCCCTACCCTTCCGGGGGGTCCATCAAGTTGTCCTCCACTAGCAAGGCCAGAGAAGAAGAAGGAGATGGCCCAGGCTGGGGACTGAGGGGGGACCCACTGCTCTAGTCCTCTAGGGAGGCAGAGGAGGGGGCATGCCCGATTTAACAGCGCTGCGGGGACAACAAGGACCAGTGTCCAAGAGGTCAATCTCTTTTTTCCACCCAAGCCATTTGCCTTCCTCTGCCAGTACTCAGAAAGACAAGTTCCTGCGAAGTGGAAGCAGGCCAGGTAGGAAGTTCCCCAGTGGGATCCAATCTTACAGCCCCCTGGGTCCCACATCTTAAAGCCAATACTGTGTTTGGAGAGGAGAGGCCCAGGAACACAGCATGGCTGCCAGGCCAGAGAGGGAGACTCAAAACCTTTCTTGGTTGTATTGAACTAGCTTGGTTCACTGGAAAGATTATGGGTCTGGGCAGCAAGAGGTCTGGGTTCTACTCCTGGCTTGGACAGGGCTAGGGACTGGGCCTGTGATTTGATTAGCTCAGGGAATTCCCAGGTGCAGAAGCTGCCTCTGCCAATGCAGGTAAGAACCATCTCTGCAACTCACAGTCTTCGACAGTCGCCTAGACAACTGCAGAGTTAAGTGAACTGCCCAGCTGTAAACAGCTTTACAGTTACAGTGTCCAAAGCAGGATTTGAATTCAGGGCTTCCTAAATGGGTACCAGCTGCATAACTTTCGGCAAGCCACTTTTAGCTCTCTGTGGGCTTCTCATCTGTAAAATGGGTATAATAATCCGTCTGGCCTCTCTCCCAGGCCGGCTGAGATGAAACTAATGTGCTGATGCTTCCACACCTACGTGCAGTATTGGGATCATGCCTGGTGTGCAGAATTTCAGGACAAACTTCACACTTGGGTTCTATCCTAGGCTCTGTCTGAGGGGGAAACTCCCCTAGCATGTGCACATTTCCCTGGTGACTAAGCTAAATCAGCCTCTGCATAAGTGGCTCCCTTCTTTTCCCTCCCCAGCCCAAGTAGAGGACGCTCACTGGAAGGGGGAATGAGTAAGACACAAGAATGGGGTCAGTCCACTTGTGGTCTCTGTAGTACAAAGAGAGATCCCACCTGCAACTTCCATTCCCCTGTGGGCACAGCAATGAGGAAGGCACCGTCCTTTTTCACAAACTACTTCCATTGAGCTGCAACGGCTGTTTTTCACAGTTACACATCAGAAGTCACAATCCTCCTTGCCCATTTCAGCATTATCAGCAAGTGAGTTAGGAAAGGGACCCATCATTAGTGTAGCTCACGCCCTGAGCTTCGTAGTTGAGCTCTCCAAGGTCCTCACACCATTAGCTGCGTTTCCTTCCTTCTTTTCCAAAACGATGGAGTGTGAACCAGTAGTCTAGTGATTGCTGGACACTGAAGCCTTTCCCAACAGCCCAACTGGTCCCCCTCCCTGCCACAAACATGCATACACACAGTGCTGTGGCTCAGCCATCCAGCTAGTTTTCAGCTTTGGGTCATGCAGAGTTAGGGGAGCAATGCAAGAGCGTGGCTGAGCAGGCTGTGTTAGTCGCTTTGAAGCCAGGTAGCTGAGCAAGGACAAAGAGGTCTAGTTCTTAATAAAGAAGCTCAGATTCTAGGGAAGTACGAAGGGCAAGAGGCAAACGATTATCTCCATACTGATCTCTGGAATATAGCAGGCAAGAGGAGTCAATGGCCGTAGTTGCTCCAATAGCTGCCCAAGGGCTTTTGCTGCCAAAGTTTTAGGCTGGGATCGATCTAAGGTCCCTGCTTAGTGCCGCTCTCCCCCATTATTTGGCCAGTTCCTAAGCCCTGCGGGCAGTCTGATTCCCCTCTAGTCTCCTTTGTCCATCCTATACTACAAGAAGATATTAACAGTGAAGAACATCACAGTCTCAGAGTTAGAAGGGCCCTCATTAGCCATCTAGTTCAACTCATCCATGAACAAGGACCCCCTCTACAATGCACCTACAAAGTATTCGTCCAGTCTCTACTTGAAGACCTTCAATGAGGAGGACTGAGCACTTAGCAGGATCCGTTTCTCCTTAAGGGGACCCAGGCTGCTGTGCCAGGGCACTGATCCTGGGCCTGGAGGTGCTGGAAAGAACTCTGCACATGCACCTAGGACACCTGGGTTCCTACTATGAGTCCGGTGGGCAAGTCACTCCATCTCTCTGAGCCTTAGCTTCCCGACCTAAGAAATGGGGACACTGCAGGGTTGTTGGGAGGAAAACACTTCATAATCCTTGAAGTGTTACAGATATTCAAGCTACTCTAATTATTCCCTGGTTTGGCCTGTGTTTGTGTCTATATCTGCCCATGGCTGCTTGGAACTCTCCAGAAGAAAAGGGGTATGCAGAGTGGTGACATCACAGTTAGCCGCACGATTCAAAAAATGAAGATTTTTTTTTCCACTGAGGAGGAAACACAGGAGCCTAGACTGCTGACCTCACTGCTGGCTACCAGCTGGCTAGAGAAAGTAACCTCCTCCTTCTCTCTGGTTCAGGAGAGATCTTAGGGAGTCCCCCTCCTACCCATCCACCCAGACAGCTAGATGAGGTGGACGGTATGCCTACAAAGCCCTTGGGCCCATGCAGGTCCACTGAAGGCTCCTGCTGCTCTCCTCTCATCAGCACCCACAACCTTCTACCTTCCATTACTGGCCTAGGAAAAGACCCTCCAACTGGCTATTTGCTAGCCACTGGGGTATTCTACCACACCTCGAACCTAACACATTCACAATGGAACTCTCATGGCACCACTGTCCTCAAGTCACAAGGTCTGAAGCCAAAGTCACCTTTGGCTCTTCCCTCCCCTTCACTTGCCATCTCCCCCCTCCATCCAATTAGTTCCCAAGTCTTATTGATTCTACCTCCACTCGATCTCAGATCCTGGTCCTGTAACCACTCTGTGTATCATTATCTTGGGTTTAGACTATTGTAGTATCTACCTAAATGGTTTGCCAGCCTCCCCTCTCTGATCTGCATTTCCTATTGCTGCTAGCATGCTCTTCATAAATTAGAACTCTGATCACGTCACTCCTCTACTCAAAAGCCTGCAGTGGCTCCCTAGTGTTTAGTTACTACTTATTTTGATGTTCAGGACCTTTCTGTCTGGCTCCAACCCACATTCCCAGCCTGACTTTACACTACTCTCCCTTCACACATTTCATAAATAAATCCGTGAAGCCTCCCTTGATGTCACCAGCTAGACATGACTTCTCTTTCCTCAATTTTCTCATGCTTCTCTCTTTGATCTCTGCTATGCAACGATTATATTCTAAATGGGGGGAGTACAGAATACTCCCCCTAATGTCATTCACTGGTTCTGTGAAAATATAACTCTAGGTGAAACATATTTATGGGGGCCAGTGAGTTCCATAGCAACAGAGTTATAAATGGAAGAGCTGTTCCTGGGCAGCCTAAATTGAGACCAAAAACAAAGCTTCCAAAGTGTCTTTAGAGAGACCTGCAATTAAAGCAGGGCTAAGCTGGGCAGGGCTGCTGGGATATGCCAGAAGACCCAAGGTGTGCAGATAAAATGCACTAAATTTTTGCATGGATCCTTGAGGAGAATGGTGGGGGATGGGTAGGAAAGGAATGGGGAGATGACTGGCTTAAGGATAAGCAGCCAAAAATCCAGATATTAATCTAGGTGGAGGATGGGAATCCCCAGATCTGTAGTTTAAGATCTCATTAAAGATGATAATTCTCAGATGAGTCTGGGCATTGTTTCTTTAAAAACAATCTTTTGCTCACAGCTTGGCAGGGATAATACATCACCCCCAGATGCACAAGGCATTTATAAAAGCATACTGAGCTCTAGCATGAACTGCAGAAAGCTGGGCTTGGGGGAGGGAAGTGTCACTGATTTCATTTGGAAGCTAAGACCTGAGGGGCTAAATCCTCCTGACCTGAGCCCAGCGTCTTCAAGTAACTAGAGGAAGGCCAGTCACCAGTGGGGCAGTGACTCTGACCTTGCAGGGACTGGGCTAAAGGTCTTAAAAAGCTCAGGTTTTATTTATCTTTTCCTGTCCTCTTTCCCTTTGTCTTCCAGAAGCAACTAGGTGGAACTATTAACTCAATGCCTCTTTGTCGTGAATGGGGCTGCTGCTCACTGCTGCTAAGGATAAACTATATCTAGTGTTTAACACGCTATTCAATATCACACATTTCTATTTCTTTCAGATGCACAAAACACCTTCCTCCCAACAACCCTACTAGAAAGAAGGGGAGCAAGTGAATATATTGAGGAATAAGGAACTAGGGAGCCAACTTTCAAGTGGGGATTGGAAACAGTGCATTATCAATCTAATTGTGAAATGACATTGAATGGGGAACTCTTTAAATGATGTGTGTATGTGGGGGGGGGTCACATCCACACTCTAAGCTCTTTGAGGGAGGGACTATATCTAGCTTCATAGATTCACAGCATTTCAAGAGTTGGGAGGGTCTTAAGGGGACAGCTAGTCAATACCATAAGAGATATCCCCTCAATAGCCTATGTGCCAAATAATTGGTTATCCAGCCTTTGCTTGAAGACCTCAGAGGTGGGGAACTTACTACCTTCCAAGAAAGTTCATTCCACTTTGGGTCAGCTCTAATTGTCCAAGCCAAAGTGGCAAAAGCACCTATGTTGTTGATAAAGGCTAGGATGAGGTTTTTTTCTCTCTAGGCACCAACATTTTCAGGCTGATGGAGAAGAGGGGGAGGCACGGGGTAGTTAATATTCTGAGTCAGTGATAAGTTGCTAGGCAACAGAGAAGAATAAATGCTTAAGGCAAATGATTAGGAAGAAGAAAGAAGTGATACTGGGATGTTGG